CCCCAAAACCCCAAAACCCCAAAACCCCAAAACCCCAAAACCCCTATTTTTATATTTTTAGTTGAATATAAGCTAAATGATTTCTCATTAATCAGAATATGAATTTTTACTTGGATTAGAAATCCAGATCTTAGAAATACGCTAATGCTGTATTTATGACAACCTCATTAAATTCCTTAGTTTCATATTTTCATGCTTCAATTTTGCCATTTCTTGCTGAAGATTTGAGCAGTAGGATCTATAGGTGTTCAAAGTCTGCTCGACTTTATTTTTAATCAGAGATAATTTGTGTGATTCATCGTGAGGAATTAGAGTTCTTTCATAGCTATTTGGCACCTCAAATGAGCCCATACAAAGGTATGAGTCTTTGCAACAGGTTTCTCTTGTGCCTTCCTCTGTAATAGTTCTATGATCATAGTGATTTCTGAGTTTCTTCAGATGTTGGCTAGACCAATATTTGCTGTTTAGAGAACTGTTACTTCCCTTAGAATGAGTACTTGAGCAGAGACATCTAGAAGTACTGCCCATCTTGCGTTGGTTCATATGTTGCACTTCATACTTTGTCAAGTCCTGCACTGGAGTGTACCTCTTGATCTTCTTTATTGACAAATCATATGGTGTGAGTTTCCCTTTCCTTATTCCTGGGTGAGGGTCATCAATATAATTGACAAGATTTTTGATTTGCTTGTTCCTCTTCCTTACAGGAATAGCTTTAGAGATCTTTGCTTTTAGTAGAGCAGCATTCTTCTTTTTCTTAAGCTTTTTGGGATTCTTAGTTTTAGATACCATCAGGTTGTGCCAGTTGGAAATTTTTAAATTTTGAGCCTAAATTTGAAGCATTTATACTACCTTTTCTTGGGACCGGTGCTGCTGAATCTTTTTGGTATCAGCCAAGCATTTAGTTCGGAACTTAAAATTGTTCTGTGATCTGCTGTTCTCAAAGGTACTTTTAGGAGTTGGCTCTCTAGGGTTTGAATGGTGGCAACGACTGCACTCCTTTAAGCAACCTTGGTTGAAATAATCTACCGAGGTTAGTTTTGTATCCTGGCATGGACGCATTTGTCTAGGAAGTCCACATGGGTTTGGATTTTGCCAACAATTTGCTCATGAGCAGCTAGGAGTGCTGTTGACTAAGGAACTGTAAGTAGGATCCACAAAAATGAAATCTGAGCTTCGTGAGCGTTTACATCCTTTGTCAAGATCCTCTGAATCTTTTTGTTGATTATAGTGATCATATTGATTTGGGATGTAGATCTGGGGAGGTAATTTTTGACGCCTCTTATCTTCATGAGTTAATCCACAAGAGTCGTTCTTCGGAATATAGCTGCTTGAATTATAATTCGAACACTGATCAGGCTCTTGAGGATAACTAGTTTGGAACTTCTTATTGGTACTTAATTTAGGATGATATGCTTCTAAAAATACTGATTTAAACCCTACCTTGCGGCTTGTTTTTGAAAGACTTATGTCTTTTCTTTGCTTGCCAAGCATCGAGGGACTCAGCAATCTTATTTAATAATGCCATTAGGTGACACTTTGGGCTTACTTTTTGAGGCTTCTTTCTCAATGACTGCGTTGTCTGAGATATTAACGTCATTTTCATTGGTGTTACTGCTACCTCTCTTGATATTGTCTCTTTTCTGCTTCTGGAGGTTTACTGGAATTTTTGCTCATTCCTTGTACTCTTTAAACACGGTTCTGGAGTTTTTAATAAGAGATTCGGTGTCTGTATCTCCTTTGGATGGCTTAATGGAGGAGACACTTCCTCTAATAGGCTCAAATTTGTTGTCAGTGGGGCAAGCTCTCTTATTAGAAGAGTGCAGATTCTTAGTGATAGGGGATTCATAGACCTTCTTACTTTTCTTGCTTTTCGCACTAGAATCGATACTCTTCTTGTGCTTTTTATTCGAAATAGGTGAGAACAGATTGCTTAGATTACTAATTCCTTGAATCTTCTGCTCTGCCACTTGCATTGTCAGAGGGAAAGGCATGGTAGACAGCTTAGAGTTCTTCTGTGAGCCATCAGTTTTTCTTGAAGACTCAAATTTTGAATTATCATTCTTTGGGATATTTCTGGGGTCGTTGTGCTTTGTGGTGTTTCTAGCTGGGAATTTTATTTCTATAACAGGTTATACTCCTCAAGAATAACGAAATTATGGTTAGATACCTACCTTTCTCATATGTGGGAGTGAGTATATTAAGTTTCATCCTTTCACCTATGAGTTATGTTGTTGAAATTACCGCTCTTAATTTGGTCTTTGAAATATTTCCTCAGATGTTTAGTTTTCTTACTTTCAACCTTTTTATGGATGTTCTGCTTGCTGGTACTTATCTTAGAGTTAGCCAGCTTCTAGAGGGGTGAGGAGGGAACGTACTTTAGGGCCAATACTTTTGTTTCCGGTTTTACTATTCCTCCTTTCTGAGGTATCTCAGCTGCGCTTGACCTTCTTTTTGATTTTAGTTTTCTTTATGAAGTAGTTCCCTGTTGAGGTTGAGTTTGTTTTGGGCTTCATCATTCTTAGTTTTGGCTTTGTTTTTGTAGAAAAATCAGGATATTTATCTCTGAAGAAATTAGCCTTTTGCTCTTCTTTTGCAAGGCTGATTTCGATAGCTGATGATTCTATAATAGAGGTTTTGAGAATTTTCAAGTCAGCTTAGGCGAATAATTTGTACTGAAAAATTTCATGGTCAAACTAATCAATTTATATATGTATGTTTATACGAAGTAAGAAGGCTTCTTTATTCAGATCTTTCTTACCGTAGTGATCCTTATCTCTAAAATCCATTGATTATTTGGTTTGGTAAAATTATATTAAATTCAATTTTGTAATTTAATTAGGGGTTTTGGGGTTTTGGGGTTTTGGGGTTTTGGGGTTTTGGGG